TCGCAGTCAGTGGCACCGCTCCCTATGAGCGTGTGTGGAGCGTTAGTGGTCATGGCGATGTTTGGTCTTGGAGCGGCAAGACTCTAATTGCGTTGAAGCCTTGGCCTCAGCACTCGGTTGGGCAGAGTGCTCGGGGTGTGGAGACCATGGCTTGAGCACGCTCCAGATCGGCCAGGCCCAAAGCTCGTTTGATGGGAGACCTCATGACAGCACGCTTCACCATGTGCCTCATCAGGAACTGTAGAGCAGCCCTCATCTCCACCTCCTCCGGACACACGGGAGACGAGACACCAGGGGGCACTCCAGCAGAGCTCCAATCTGCATTATGGCCAGAGGGAGCAGGCTCTGGAGAAATCTTTGGAATGAGCAGCAGCTCTGCATACTTGCTGCAGCTGAGCAGAGCGCTCAGGGCCTTCATGGCTCCCAGGCCTTGGGGTCCGGGGGCTGGGGAGTTGGGCAAAAGGGGGTCGCCTCGGGAACGCTGGGATTCTCTGGGTGTTGTTGTTGGCCTGCTTCACCGACGGTGGTCACACGCCGGCCGACCTCTTCAGCGTAGGGAGCCGCGGATGGGCCTGGTCTGTCCGCGCCCTCGGTGTCCTCGTCTATGGCCCTCAGTGGCAGCGCCGCACGACAGTGGTTGGCGTGGATCCAAGTTGTCCTCTCCGCGACCTTAACGGCAGTGTCCGTCACCAGGAGGACGAGGAATGGGCCGAGCCAGCGCCTGGACCGCCAATGCTTTCGTCTCGTTTCCTTCACCAGGACCCAGTCGCCTGGCTTGATCCTGTGCAGAGCCGCCTGCGCAGCCTGTGGCAGGGCGCTCCTGACCTGGGCAGAAATAGAGGACAAAAGTGCATTAATTTCCTTACAATAGGACAGCATGTCGTCATCACAAAGAGGTGCTTGGCAGATCTCTGTTCGGGGGTCCCGCGCCCAAGTTGGGTGGATCTGGCCAAGAGGATTTCGAATGGGGCTCTCATGCGCATATACATGAGGGCTAGCGGCAGAGCTTTAAGTGCCGTTCTCTCGCTCGCACGCGCCTCGCTCCAGGGGGCGTAACTGCAGTGTTTACGTAATATCAATGCCCAGAAATTCACCCACTTCCTCAATGACTTTTGCTACAAAGTGACTGCCAGTGTCACTAGAGATTTTTTTTTTTCTCGGGGCACCCCATCGTGGCACAATTTCTGTGAGCAGAGCTTTCACCACCGCGTTGCTCGTGGCGTGTATGCCTGCAAATACTTCAGTCCATTTGGACCAGAGATCCGCCAGAACCAGACAGTATTTCTTACCTTGGCATGGTGTGAGTTCAACAAAGTCCCTTTGGACATGTTGAAATGGGCGCAGGGGCGGAGGATGAGCAGCCTGTTGGATACTTTTGGGACTTACCTGGGTTGTGCGCGAGGCATATAGCGCATGTTTGGCAGAATCTCTGTGCAAATGCCGTAAACCCCTTTGTATACCAATTTTGTGTGATTAAATCACACATCCCTCCTTCTGAGGCATGGTCTCGACCATGTGCTAAAATTGCAAACTGTCTGAAGAACTGCCGTGGTAGGCACGGTTTGCTGTCTGGTCCCAGCCACACACACCATGCCGTCGTTGAGCCCCATTCCCCTCCCACAGCAGCGTCTCTGCTGGAGTAGCCAGTGCCTGCATCGCTGACAGAGAGGAGAAAATATCAACGTCTTGAGTGAGGTAGTGTGTGTGTGTGTGTAGAGGTGCGTATGCCGCTGCCTTGTCCGCGCGCCGATTCCCTGCAGAGATGGGATCAGTGGCATTAGTGTGGGCCTGGCATTTGCGTACAGCGATCTCTAAGGGCAACATTACAGCTTTCAGCAGACGTTCAACCTGTGTGGAATTAAGAATTGGTTTCCCATCAGATTTCATGAAATTGCGGTGTTTCCACAGTGCCCCCCAGTCGTGCACCACAGAGAAACCATAGCGCGTATCACAGAATAGGTTAACAGTTTTGCCCTCTGCCAGCTCACACGCCCTGGTGAGGGCAACCAGTTCAGCGGGTTGTGCTGAATGGTGGTGGGGCAAACTACCAGAGTCTATAGTATCAAAATCAGAACACACAGCATAGCCGACTCGGTTCTTCCCAGTGTTGTCACGTGACACGGCTCCGTCTGTATAAAAAAATCAGTCAGGATTAGTCAGAGGCACCTCTTTCAGGTCTGGCCTGGGAGTGCATATCTGTTCTATTGTGGCGATACAGCAGCGTGCCTCCCCTTCCTCTGGCGTGGGCAGCAGTGAGGAGGGGTTCAGCTGTGTGCATCTTTTCACCGTAGTTCAAAGAGCACCGTGTTGTATTTCAGCCAACGAGCCGCAGAAAGGTGAGAGGTTTTCTGCTCTAGCAGGGTCAGGGAAACAGCATGGGGCACAAGCAAAGTTAGTTCAGTGTATCCCACAAGGTCACGTGATGCTAGGGCCGCTTTCTCAGCGGCAGCCACAGCCCGCAGGCAGCGAGGCAACCCTGCTGCCACGGGATCGAGTTTTGCTGAGAAGTAAGCAGTGGGTCTCAGTGGCCCTCCGTGAGACTGCAACCGACACCATGCACCCACACCGCTCATCCACAGTCTGAGTGAATGGCCGGGTGGGGTCAGGGAGACCTAGTGTGTGTGTGTAGATTTGCTGTTCCGTTCATCTCCAGTTGCTTTCTCCCGGATCGTCCTCAATTCATATTGTGGGCTTTGGTGCCAAAGTGGAGGCTCATTTCCTCCTGATCCATACTACTGTCATCCCTGAAGCAGGGTAGTTTATCTCTCATCTGAAAAAGAAATATTAGAACACAAAAAACACAAAAAAATGCCCACTTTCGCTTGTCAATCTTTTTTCCAATTGGGCAAAACATAACTGCATTGACAGACGGTGTGTGACATCAGGGCGGAGGCTGTAGCCAAATACAGAACAACAAAATGTATGTTTCTAATTTTATACTCCCCTAAATGTGAGTTTACAAACCAAAGTTGTCCTTCAACCAACGACAGCTCACTGCGGTTGGACCGACTCACTGTCAGGACAAACCGCAGAGGGAGGGACTCCCAATATCTTCAGATTTCATCTCCGAGTACTTTCCGCAGAGTACTATTCTCAGAGTACTCATCCCAGAGTACTCTCACTTTTACACCTGTTCAATAAAGCTTGTTATCTTTGAATCTCTAGTACTTACACCGTATGCTGTTGACAAAAAAATAATTATTCCATGATCACATTAAAACATTACAGACATATTTGTTATTCCATTCTCCGTTCAGCATTCCTCATTTCACTCCCCATTTCACACCACACTCACATCACACTCACATCACAGTCACATCACAGTCACATCACAGGCCGATTTCCCACGTTAGTATATTGGTCCAGAGTTTGTTAAGGTCAACGTAGTGTACTTTGACATGACACACAAACATATAACATACACCAAACATATAACACACAAACATATAACACACAAACATATAACACACAAACATATAACACACAAAACATATAACACACAAACATATAACACACACAGAAGGCCTGTAATTTTAACTTTTGTTATATTTTCCATGTCCAATTACAATTGTCTCATGAGCTATTTCTATTGTTGCAACTTTCCGAGCCTGCAGAACATGCAGAGCGTTTTAAAAGATTGTTCCTACGAAAAAAGAAATCCATTTCCAACTTTAGTGTTTACCACGTGGTCTGTAGTCGGGCTTATCACAGATTGTGTCCCCTATATCTCTAATGAGCTCTTGTTACTTAAGAATGTTCTTTTCCTTCTTTTTTCTTTTTCAATAAAGCCAGGTCGGATTCATAAAAAATGTAAATTAGTCTCAAACTTTAATACTTCACCTTTGTTTCACGATAAAATGTTTTTGTTGCTTATTAAGTAACACAGATACCATAGCGTAGTGCCTATCCCAATAAACATACTCCGTTTGTAGCCTATCTTTACTACACTGAAGCCATGAATTTTCAAACTCTAAGTTATTGTCTGGGAACGACCGGAGAGAGCAGCTTAGGTCGTTCGCGTGGTTGACCTCCAAATTTTGTGCGGGCGTAACTCTATCCACTGTTGTGGCTAATAACTTAGCAATCTCAGGGTTTGGTGTCAATTTCCAGTGGTAGTTAACTTTTGGGACCGGTGCCTCCTTGTGCATGCCGGTGAAACATGGAGCGTTTGCTAGCTCACTAGCGTGTACCACCCGTAGGCCGCTTGGTGTTGAGAGCAGATTTAAATTGAGTCTGCACATAAGGTCTCGGCCTAGTAGATTAACCGGGCACAATGGGGAATGTTTAAGCTGGTTGCCCTGAGAATCAAAACACGTTAGCGGTGACGTAAATTGCTTCTTTAGTCGTCTCTCCCGACGCTGCTAATGAGAATGTGAAGCGGCCACTCATTTTAGGGGAGACAGAAAGGCTGTCACTTTTTTGCACAGAATTTGTTGCCCCGGAGTCATCCAGAATTTTAAGTTTTACACCACAGATTGTTAGCGTATGTTACGGGAATTCAGCATGAATTATCTCTAAAAAGTGCCAATTGCAATTTGTTCTCGTTCAAACTTACATGAGCGGTCGCTTTGGTGACGAATGTGAACCCGGGTTTGGTCAGTCGCTCGTGTTTCCTCCACCCCCGCCTCTGCCGTCCTCTGGCCCCGTGTCGAGCACACAGTCTTTCCGCCGGGCTGTGGAAGTTTCTCAAAGTCCGCAGGAGGCCCAGGTAGCCCAAAGCGTTAGCCTGTGGTCCATGAGGGTTGGTGAATACCCAAACGTGCCGGTCCCAATGGCTTCTTCTGTTTGCGGTGCGGGGACAACTTTCAACGGGGTCACGCTGCCGCCTCCGTGGGGAACAGTCACGGGATTTGGAGCAGTTTGTCTCTGGCCTCCAAAGCAGTTGTCGGTGTCTCACATATTTGCTTCCCCCGCTTCTTCTTCTGCGGTTTCCTGAGCGTGTATCTGCTTCCGCCACTTCTTCTTCTGCTTCCGGGTTTGGGCCCACTTCTCGCGGGGTCTCAGCTGGTGCGAGCGCCGCCTGTGGTTGGGGCGTGGGGCTGGTGCTGGGGCTTTGAGGCAGAGGACAGAGCGCGGAGGAAAGGCGCCGACAGACCTGGACAGGGAGAGGAAAAAGGGACAACAGTAGTCTGCTCATTTTTTTAAAAACCCAACGCCTTGTTTGGGTGCACACTTATTGTTAGTAGGGGAAAAGGGGCGGTAGGGTGGGGGTGTGGGGGTGTGTGGGATGTGTGTGTGTGTGTGTGTGTGTTCTCCGCTTCGGTGAAAAGCGGAGGGGCTATTGTTTTTACATATTTCTTTCTCTAACGTCTTTTGCCGTGATATTCTTAAAACCAAGTATATTTTTTCTTCCCTTCTTCTTCTAAATTATCACGCAAGATGCGTAGTTGATTCGGAGACATAGAGCCTCCATCGGAAAAAGCCAGATGACCTGCACCATAGGCAAGCACTCCATAGCTTGCATCCCTAGATTGATTTTTCCCCATTTTCTCGTACGAACAATGGGCCTAACCCGCTTAGTCTCTTCCCTGCTCCTACCCACTTTGGGGCGCTCCGTTCCCCCCTCGCTGGTTCAACCAGCGAGCGCGCGTTCTTGAAACGGAGCGGGTCTGGCTGAAGACACTTGGAGAAATTATCAGGGTCGCTTACAGAGCGATACTAACGCGCAGCCGCTAGCTTCAATCTAGAACAAAAGCCCCCAAAAATCCCGCACACAGTCTATGCTGTGGCAATGAATGAAATACCCCAAAAAATACATAAATAAACAAATCCCCGTGTACACTTAAGTGCTGCCCTGGGCTCGTTTACGCAGATGAAAAGACAAAACTCACCAAATTAGGTTCTTTTTGGTCTTGTGTGGCAAAAGAATCCTTCCATGCGCGGGACGAGCGCGCCCTCCCTTTGTCTCCAAATAGAGCAGAGGCTGGTGTTCCAGGTCGGCCAAACGCAGCCGCTCGTCCCCGCCGAAGGGATCCATGCCAAGACATGCCAGCAACGCCAAATTGTCGTAGAATTACATACCCCAATGAAGGAGAAAAGCTCAAAGATGTTTGTCTTAATCAAAAGCGTAAGTTTATTGTAACACACGTGCGGAGAGTTCATACACACAAAGGCAGCATGTACCAGCTCTGCTCGCAGAGCTCAGGCTTCCTGTTTACATAGACAACGCATGAAGGACAGTCACGCCCACAACAGATGGGAGGGGGCCACCGGTGAGGAGGCGTATAGGGAGCGTTGGCGCCATCCCCTGTGGTGACAGTGGCATGGGGGTGTGAACAGACAGACAATGGTAGAAATGCAGGTCATACAGATGCAACCCCCCCCCCCCCCCCCCCCCCCCCCCCCCCCCCCCCCCCCCCCCCCCCCCCCCCCCCCCCCCCCCCCCCCCCCCCCCCCCCCCCCCCCCCCCCCCCCCCCCCCCCCCCCCCCCCCCCCCCCCCCCCCCCCCCCCCCCCCCCCCCCCCCCCCCCCCCCCCCCCCCCCCCCCCCCCCCCCCCCCCCCCCCCCCCCCCCCCCCCCCCCCCCCCCCCCCCCCCCCCCCCCCCCCCCCCCCCCCCCCCCCCCCCCCCCCCCCCCCCCCCCCCCCATCCCCCCCCCCCCCCCCCCCCCCCCCCCCCCCCCCCCCCCCCCCCCCCCCCCCCCCCCCCCCCCCCCCCCCCCCCCCCCCCCCCCCCCCCCCCCCCCCCCCCCCCCCCCCCCCCCCCCCCCCCCCCCCCCCCCCCCCCCCCCCCCCCCCCCCCCCCCCCCCCCCCCCCCCCCCCCCCCCCCCCCCCCCCCCCCCCCCCCCCCCCCCCCCCCCCCCCCCCCCCCCCCCCCCCCCCCCCCCCCCCCCCCCCCCCCCCCCCCCCCCCCCCCCCCCCCCCCCCCCCCCCCCCCCCCCCCCCCCCCCCCCCCCCCCCCCCCCCCCCCCCCCCCCCCCCCCCCCCCCCCCCCCCCCCCCCCCCCCCCCCCCCCCCCCCCCCCCCCCCCCCCCCCCCCCCCCCCCCCCCCCCCCCCCCCCCCCCCCCCCCCCCCCCCCCCCCCCCCCCCCCCCCCCCCCCCCCCCCCCCCCCCCCCCCCCCCCCCCCCCCCCCCCCCCCCCCCCCCCCCCCCCCCCCCCCCCCCCCCCCCCCCCCCCCCCCCCCCCCCCCCCCCCCCCCCCCCCCCCCCCCCCCCCCCCCCCCCCCCCCCCCCCCCCCCCCCCCCCCCCCCCCCCCCCCCCCCCCCCCCCCCCCCCCCCCCCCCCCCCCCCCCCCCCCCCCCCCCCCCCCCCCCCCCCCCCCCCCCCCCCCCCCCCCCCCCCCCCCCCCCCCCCCCCCCCCCCCCCCCCCCCCCCCCCCCCCCCCCCCCCCCCCCCCCCCCCCCCCCCCCCCCCCCCCCCCCCCCCCCCCCCCCCCCCCCCCCCCCCCCCCCCCCCCCCCCCCCCCCCCCCCCCCCCCCCCCCCCCCCCCCCCCCCCCCCCCCCCCCCCCCCCCCCCCCCCCCCCCCCCCCCCCCCCCCCCCCCCCCCCCCCCCCCCCCCCCCCCCCCCCCCCCCCCCCCCCCCCCCCCCCCCCCCCCCCCCCCCCCCCCCCCCCCCCCCCCCCCCCCCCCCCCCCCCCCCCCCCCCCCCCCCCCCCCCCCCCCCCCCCCCCCCCCCCCCCCCCCCCCCCCCCCCCCCCCCCCCCCCCCCCCCCCCCCCCCCCCCCCCCCCCCCCCCCCCCCCCCCCCCCCCCCCCCCCCCCCCCCCCCCCCCCCCCCCCCCCCCCCCCCCCCCCCCCCCCCCCCCCCCCCCCCCCCCCCCCCCCCCCCCCCCCCCCCCCCCCCCCCCCCCCCCCCCCCCCCCCCCCCCCCCCCCCCCCCCCCCCCCCCCCCCCCCCCCCCCCCCCCCCCCCCCCCCCCCCCCCCCCCCCCCCCCCCCCCCCCCCCCCCCCCCCCCCCCCCCCCCCCCCCCCCCCCCCCCCCCCCCCCCCCCCCCCCCCCCCCCCCCCCCCCCCCCCCCCCCCCCCCCCCCCCCCCCCCCCCCCCCCCCCCCCCCCCCCCCCCCCCCCCCCCCCCCCCCCCCCCCCCCCCCCCCCCCCCCCCCCCCCCCCCCCCCCCCCCCCCCCCCCCCCCCCCCCCCCCCCCCCCCCCCCCCCCCCCCCCCCCCCCCCCCCCCCCCCCCCCCCCCCCCCCCCCCCCCCCCCCCCCCCCCCCCCCCCCCCCCCCCCCCCCCCCCCCCCCCCCCCCCCCCCCCCCCCCCCCCCCCCCCCCCCCCCCCCCCCCCCCCCCCCCCCCCCCCCCCCCCCCCCCCCCCCCCCCCCCCCCCCCCCCCCCCCCCCCCCCCCCCCCCCCCCCCCCCCCCCCCCCCCCCCCCCCCCCCCCCCCCCCCCCCCCCCCCCCCCCCCCCCCCCCCCCCCCCCCCCCCCCCCCCCCCCCCCCCCCCCCCCCCCCCCCCCCCCCCCCCCCCCCCCCCCCCCCCCCCCCCCCCCCCCCCCCCCCCCCCCCCCCCCCCCCCCCCCCCCCCCCCCCCCCCCCCCCCCCCCCCCCCCCCCCCCCCCCCCCCCCCCCCCCCCCCCCCCCCCCCCCCCCCCCCCCCCCCCCCCCCCCCCCCCCCCCCCCCCCCCCCCCCCCCCCCCCCCCCCCCCCCCCCCCCCCCCCCCCCCCCCCCCCCCCCCCCCCCCCCCCCCCCCCCCCCCCCCCCCCCCCCCCCCCCCCCCCCCCCCCCCCCCCCCCCCCCCCCCCCCCCCCCCCCCCCCCCCCCCCCCCCCCCCCCCCCCCCCCCCCCCCCCCCCCCCCCCCCCCCCCCCCCCCCCCCCCCCCCCCCCCCCCCCCCCCCCCCCCCCCCCCCCCCCCCCCCCCCCCCCCCCCCCCCCCCCCCCCCCCCCCCCCCCCCCCCCCCCCCCCCCCCCCCCCCCCCCCCCCCCCCCCCCCCCCCCCCCCCCCCCCCCCCCCCCCCCCCCCCCCCCCCCCCCCCCCCCCCCCCCCCCCCCCCCCCCCCCCCCCCCCCCCCCCCCCCCCCCCCCCCCCCCCCCCCCCCCCCCCCCCCCCCCCCCCCCCCCCCCCCCCCCCCCCCCCCCCCCCCCCCCCCCCCCCCCCCCCCCCCCCCCCCCCCCCCCCCCCCCCCCCCCCCCCCCCCCCCCCCCCCCCCCCCCCCCCCCCCCCCCCCCCCCCCCCCGTTTAAGACCTGACACCAGACCAGGACCACTGCCGACTACCCAAGAAGGGTATAAATACATCTTTACTGCGACTGATTACTTTTCAAAGTGGGTTGAGGTCTGCAGCAGAAGTTGCCCAGAAGCTTTGTTCATTAATTTACAGATTTGGATGTCCGAAACGCATTCTGTCAGATCAGGGGCGTGAATTTGTAAATGAGGTAAAATATGACTTGAATGATTGAATATATCATTTCATGCAATAATTGCATATATTGTTTTCAGCTCAACACAAAGCTCTGTGACCTTCTGGGCATTGAGCGCAGTGTAACGGCTGCTTATCATCCTCAGACCAATGGCTTGGATGAAAAGACAAATCACAGCATAAAAAGGTCAGTCATCTAAAAAATCTCAACCATCAAACTTAATTCTTAAAGGATTTTACATTATATATTCCTCTCTTTAACTTTCAATATTGTGAATGTAACCTTCTGTTACAGAGCTCTGATGAAGGTGGTAAATGAGCGCCAAAACAACTGGGATATTTACTTGGAGGCAACTTTATTTTCACTGAGGTCCAAGCCCCACTGCTCCACAAAATACAGCCCCTTTCGGTTGATGTATGGCAGGGAGGCTGTGTTTCCAGCAGAGGTTCCTGCGGATATACCAGTAAGCTTGATCAAGGCAACCTGTATTTGTGACCACATTACTTATGTGAAATATCTTTTCAGCTTTCCATTGTGCTTCCTGAGGAGGATGATGTGGAGTCCTATATAAACCTGGATGAGCTGTGTAGAGAAGAGTGCTCAATGAATGCGGCGGGGAACATAACGCAGGCCCAACAGAAGCAGGGCATAGCAATTGGTAAACGGAAACTGAAAAAGTATAAAGGTTTCACGTATGCTGTGGGACAGGAAGTGCTGCTGTTTAATTGCAAGAAGCAGGGACGGAAAGGAGGTAATCATATATTTTGTGATTTGTTTTTACCCTACGCTTAATCAAAATAGTCCTGCACGCTGTCTTGCTTACAAATCCGTGAGTTTATTTGCAGATTACAACGTTTCAGCTAGACCTTGACTTTTTTAGGCTAATTGCCAAAACATTGCAATCTATAAATAAACGCACAGGTTTGCAAGCAAGACTGTGTGCAGGATTATTCAGACAAAGCTACCTTACGTTGTATCCTACAGTTGAAATTGATTTATTGCAATTACAGGACGACTAGAGCCAGATTTCACTGGTCCATACGCAATCCGGGAAATTGATGGGAAGAGAGCAATACTGGCTAATGCTGAAGGGGATCTTCTCAAAAAGAAATATAACCTGGATCACGTCAAACCTTATAAACGTGATTGTGGCCCTCCCAAAAAACGGTATGTGAAGCATGTTTCTACCTTTTCACTTGAATGTCGATTTGACTTTTCAAATATCACATCAAGGTCATCTGATCAGGGTGTACAAACATTGTAAATGGTTCCCATTCTTTCACAAAAACATATTCACTGTGTTCAGAGTAATTGCAGTTCAATGCTTGTCTTCTCATTTGTCATAATGTTCTCAATTTTGTTTAGTATGATACTGGAAGAAGACGCCAAAGAAAAGGCAACCAGGCCATCTGTCCTAATGTATGCCCCTCCACACAAAATAACGGTAATAATTGAAATATCTGATAATATTTTTGCGAACTTGTTACTAATCTGATCTTTCAACTTGATTACATGTGAAATTGGTGAACTGTCCACTGTTTGAAATGGTTCTTTTTACTCCTGATAATTGTTTTTAACGGTTTGTCTACTAATTGCCCTGTAACATTCACAGGATGCATGTGAAAACAAAGACCACATACAACAGAGAGGTTGTAATGAATTAAGACCTGTTGGGTCATGCGTTCAGCCTAAGTTCAGACCTGTTGGGTCATATGTTTCGCCGACCCGAGTTCAATTAAGGGTTTGGCAATTGCCACAGTATGTTCGACATGTTCTCACACTTTGATTATCTTGCTTGCATGTCTTCTGTTCAAATATCTCAATTCAAAACTACTCTACTTCTGTCGTTCCATTATTTTTATCACGGACCAATTAAGAAAAGAGTTTATGTAAATGGAGTTGAAATTGTATAATAAAAACCATATAATAAAACTTAGCTCATCAAACTTTGTAATTATCGTACAATGACGTTTATGCATATTTTATGCAACACATGAGTAGAGAACTTTTTTCTTTTATGTTATATATTATAGCCACCATTTTGCATAAAACTCATTTCAGAATTTGGTCACAATGCAATTATTTTGTTTGTATGGCATTACTAATATATATATATTTTTTTTAGTCCTATCCTTGTGGTCATCAAATGATGAAGGCAATGTTGAAGCTGTGGTTGGGCCTTATTTGCTTTATGACAAGTCATTTAGAACACTTGCAGGTTCAAACTGGCTGTCAGATGAAGTAAGACTTTTGTTTTATACAATAAATTGGATTATTGTACATGACTATGGCAATCCAATGTTTTTGCAGATACTTGATGCATATATCCATATGCTTCATGAAAAACACAAAGTGGGCTTTTACCATCTAAATGCTGTGGTGGCTTCAGCTTTGTTTATGCATGGGAAAAATCAATTTGTTGCTAAAGTAATCATTTATCAATATAATAATCAGTCTGCATAAACAAAGTCTCATTAAAGAATCTATTCCTTTTTCAGATGAAATTTCCTGCAGAGGATCAGTGGCTGTGTCCAGTCAACGTGGGGGGCCACTGGATTCTGGTTGTGGTCAGAATGGACAAGAAGACCTTGGTGGTGGTGGATCCCCTCTCAAACGAGCGTCGACATGAGAAAACATTTCTCACAAACTGGAGGTTTTTTCATTAAGAACAAAAACTATTAAAATGTATTCTTGCACTAATCCCAACCATTGTGGTTTATTTCACTAGGGAATTCCTTGGAAAGAGGGACAGAGACTGCCAGGGATGGAGGGTTGAGTTGATGGCGCACAACACACAACAGGACTTCTCCAGCTGTGGTGTTCTAGTTTTAATGGTAACTGTGTATATATATATATATATATATATATTTTTTTTTTGTCTTACAATGAATATGTGCGAGCTAAATTTGTTTGAAGTTTGCAGAAGCATACATGCTCAAAGGGAGTCTTGAGGATGTTGGCACAGCCTATTCAGAAATTTGCACTGCCCGTATGGCAGTAGCATGCTCCTTGCTCCAGAGAGGTTGTATTGATCACATTATAGAACTGGTACAGTAAAAGACTGATTTAATCTTTTCTTTTTAGGGAAATTAATGCTCGGCCAACTTGTGGAGGGGAAATGAATGCTCGGCCAACTTGTGGAGGGGAAATAATTTTATATACATGTATATTTATATATTGTATGTGTGAATGTAGTGTTGTAATTTGTGTGCATATTAGAATTAATAAAGAAACGATTGTATTTATTTCCCTTTTATTGCAGTTGACAAAGCTTTGTACTGCAGATTAAAATGTTTTAAATTATTTATCAGAAGTTTAATTATTTTGTTAAACACCTGTTTTTTTCCTTAAAACAGGTGTTAAATACTAAATGTTAGAAATAAAGAAATAATGCTGTGCTTGAAAGGGACCGCTATCAGTGTGGCTTGCCTATGGGCTGGACAGGAGAAGTTGAGTACTTTAACCGAACTTTACCCGAGACTTTGACACTTCAACCCCACATGTGACAAGCATTGAACTGCAATTACTCTGAACACAGTGAATATGTTTTTGTGAAAGAATGGGAACCATTTACAATGTTTGTACACCCTGATCAGATGACCTTGATGTGATATTTGAAAAAGTCAAATCGACATTCAAGTGAAAAGGTAGAAACATGCTTCACATACCGTTTTTTGGGAGGGCCACAATCACTGTCGGGTTGATAATGGAAAATGGGGAAAAAAATCAATCTAATTAAATATTTTGTTTGAACACACTATTGTTAATCATATTAAATACAGTACGATACATGTATTGAATTAAATTTATTATTTCCATTATCAACCCGACAGACCAGTGTAAGAGTGTAGAGTTGCCACAGGACGAGTCATCAGCCTACGTCAGCAGCCGCGGACTGCTATGAAAACATTAGCTTTGTGGTTTCACAGGCGCAGTTGACTGCTTAAACTAAACTTTACACGAAACTTTGACTCTTAAAACCCACATGTGACAAAACGGAACCATCAACATCTCGCCTCAAATTGCATTAAAAGTGACATTCGTGCATGGATGTATTATATTATCTGGATAGGGTATTACTAGCTTGTAGCTGAATAACTCACGTGCTCAGGGGATTCTCGCGGTACTGCAGACTGCCCCAGACTAAATTCACGTGGGCTACCCAGAAATTTTCCCCATAGAACTCAATGCAAATTAAAACAGCTCAATCTCAGCTGACAGAGAACCTACAGCTTTAATAAAGATCGGATTTTGTGGGGATTTTAGTGTCCCTTGTCATCCTGAACTTTTTTTCTTCTTAAATCCTTCGGTTTTGTTTAAATCCACACTTTAGTGCCACAAACTCTGCTCCTCTGGCTCTCGCTCTAACTCCCGCTCTGATGAACTGCTCTGATTGGTCAGAGCGCGGCCGAGCCCCTCTGTGCACGTGCGTGAGACCCGTGTGAGACCCACACACGCGTGTTTGGCGCAACGCATTATGGGAGATCATCCACTGCGCAGAACCGGGAGGACCAGACGATGCCCAAATACAGGCGAGTTTCCCATAGATCTTTGCGAGTTTCAGGCGACTTCCGCTAATCTTTCAGCCCCCATGCTGTCACAAAGCGCCACTGAGCACAACCATTCATTTGAATAGGGCGCCATCTTGGATCGCCGGGGCTTGCATTCGTGTCTTAATTGAGACGCGCATGCGCAGGTTTGCATTACATCATAAACAGCTGAGGCAGTGCATCTCTTCAAGACAGTGTATCTCGGCGTTACACCGGTCTGAAAGCACCAATAGTCCACTGTTTATAAACCCTTTACCCATTGGCTCCTGCCCCCAGTGTCTATGTCCATTCGTTAAAATCAGTGAAAGCTGCCACAGGTGTGAGGATAAAAACAGGAAATAAAAACACAGTGCTGCACACAATAAAACACATTTCACAATAAAAGCATGCATAAAACAAAAGCGCGCTGTGCGTCTGTCCTGTGACATATATATAATATATATATATATATATATAATATACATGTATATATTATATATATATATTGTAGGGTGAGGAAAAGGTGAGCGCCAATCGGGTGTGAATAACAGACCCTTTCCGTAAACATGCCCTCCCTAGCTCCTGAGACTTCAAAGCAACTGCGGGTTCAATTGAAGGTTAACATTCACCAGGAACACTACAACGAGACCCAGAGGGGCAATAAAACAACAGAACAGGACATCTGTGTGCCCCCTGCCAGACGGAGATCAGGAATCATTCATCAGCAATCGCTCATGAGACATTCCACAACCTGAGACTCTCCCACGGCGCTCTGGCGCTCCCTAGCGGACACTGGACACTACTGCACCCAAGGCGGACACTCGAAAAGGACATTACTCTGTAATATTATGTCGATAACGTTACGGACCTTACTCGTGTGTGTTGATGTCTGTGATGTAAATGCACTGTGTGTTTGTACATGTGTTATGATCATCTGTATTAATCCTGTGTGTTCCCACTATAACCCATTTGTTGTGGGGAGGCGGCCCAAGGAAGACGCGCAAATATGACGTCACGGGCGCGCCCACTTTGACCACAACAAAACCAGCCCGCAAACCTAGAGACTGCCTCTTGTTTCCCCCGAATTCATCATAACAACTATCCCATTTGGTACGTGTCCCCTACACGGCCTACGCCCGCCACCATCTCGGGCCGGTACATCCACGAGGACAGCAACCACTCTCGCTGTCGGAGACGAGGACCTTCTATCGCCACTTTCGGGCTCCTTGGACCACCCCACCACAACGCTATTCTAGACCGTGTCGTGTGTGGAACCCACGCCTGGACCCGACCTGTCGGCTTCCTCCTGCTCCCTGTTCGAACAAAGACCACGTGGACGAGACATCGCCTCCATCCTATTCTTCACTCTCATCCTCCCATCTCCATCTCCATCCTCCTCTTTCCATCAAACACATCCTCTACGCTCCTCCAAAGTAAGACTGTTCCTTGTTAAATGTGCAATTTGAATGAAATGTGTACGACTCCTACCTAAATGTGACCAGAAATCCCTTTTCGTTATATTTTTACCTTCATTTTGTAATCAATAAACCTCTTTTCTTTAACTCAATCCTATCAGAGTCGTGTTGTTAGATTTCGGAATATCCCTGGCAGATAAAAGTATTCACTACCTATTAGATTCATAAGACTGATCGAGGCAAAGATTTGGTTTGGTCTGTGCAGTGTGTCATACACCCTGCTGGTGCCAAAATAAATATAAAGCAGACCCACACTACCAAATCTATACTATAATAACATAATCAGCAATATAAGTAGTTACCCTACAATATATATAACGTTGTGTCTTTAATTTCTGAAAATAATTCACTAGTTTTATACATTAAAAATCGTGATATGTTTTGATAAACCAAACGTTACGTTAGATCCTCCGCTCCGGCCCCGGGAGCAGCTGCAGCCGCTTTGACTGCTCAGTGAACGCACGTCCGAGCACGGACCATAGACACGCGAACAGGACCAAAGACAGGACCATAGACATGCGAACAGGACCACAGACACGCGAACAGGACCATAGACACGCAGACCATAGACAGAACCATACACGGACATAACCATTGACACGCGTTCAGACAATCCCCAGCTTGTTGCAAGTGCAGGTCTCCCCCGTGTCTCCTATGCGCTCCCGAAATTAGAATTCGGGTACCTAATTTTCTCCTTGCATTAAAAATGCTTGGTGGTTGTGGATTTTTATACTGCGTGATTGGATAGAATAATACTGGCATTGTCTAATACACATATAATGTTCAGTAACTTATAAAGAGAATGACACTAAAAAAGAAGAGTTAGAAAAGTTTTGTAAAACAAATTCAATTCATTGAATTTTGAAATCATTCTTGATTTTCATCTAAATTATGAGTGTTGTGTGTTTAATTGGTGCCAAAGTAACATTGTTATCTTTTTCAACATAGTGACTAAAATAAGTGTGTGCCATAACAGAGTAATTCAAATGTAACATGTTACATCATTATATATTATGAATTTTCCGATTAACATTTAATGGTGTTGATTGATGGATTGGTATTTGTTTATTGAGAGTGGCTAGCTCGGCTAGCTTCTCTGCACAGACAAATAGTGACAGGCACTGAAAGCTCGTTGTACTTGTATTTTTGTCATGAAAACATGAACATATAATTCGTAAAACCTCTCTGCATGTGTGTTAAGGATGTATATGTATTATGTATTCTCTGATTAACATTTAATGGTGTTGATTGATGGATTGGTATTTGTTTATTGAGAGTGGCTAGCTCGGCTAGCTTCTCTGCACAGACAAATAGTGACAGGCACTGAAAGCTCGTTGTACTTGTATTTTTGTAAATTCTAATTAAATATTTGAATATATTTGAACATCTATATTAATAAACAAACAAACTTCAAATATGATTTTTGTGCAAAAGTCAAAGCCCTAGTTTGCACACTGCAGCATGGCTGGCCTTAAAGCTGCACTAACTGACTTTATTTTTGTATTCATTACGAAAATGCTATCCATGTCCATGTAGTGCATTGGGATATACGTCCTTTTGAAGAAAAAGTAGCGCAGATTTGTACTGGCGTAACATAATATTTTAGATTGAGTTTTGATGAAACAAGGAAGAGAATGTGTTTCGGGTCGCAGATTGTGACCAATCACAGCGGACCACTAGCCCCCACTTTCGTGAGAAATCTACAGGTCTCCGTTAGCACAGACAGCTGAGTTAGCACAAGTGGCGGAGCTAACCTGAAGGTTTGTGTGTCTTCGTCACCGGTTACTGCTTACACAGCGAGACAGCCATCCAAAAGAAAGTCTCGTTCCTCCGCGCTTCCCGGTTCCATCGTTCTATGGTCACGGCATCCACGTGCAAATCCATATCCATGGTTTATCCATATTGGAAGACGCTAGCTTCGTCAACAACGGTGGGTGTGTGTGGGGGGCGATAGCTTCGTGGGTGCGGAGAGGGGAGCAGAAAGAGCGAGGCCAGCGAGTCCGTGGCTTCAAAATCCCAAAGTCAGTTAGTGCAGCTTTAATGAAACTTATTTGTAGGAGCACTGTTGTTTGCAGTAGAAGCCGCGGTGCGGAGGGTTCAGTTCCCTGTACCCAGGAGAAGAGCAAGTGGGTCATGCTAACCTATATCAAACAAGTGCCCTATATTCCAAATTATAAGATGGATTTCAAATCTGCAAAAATGAAACATTGATTGATTGATTGATTTTTTATTCATTCGAGCAGAAATTTTACAATCATAAGTATTTACAATATTTACATTCCTTAGATGATTCTTTATACATACATGTTGCCTGCTGTGCTTACAGTTTATACTTATACATAGAAATATATAAACAAACTATACAATCAAGCAACAATAGTTTCCCTAGTTACACCATGTGTTATACATCGCAATATCAATACACAAATGAACCTCTATTTACAATTTGTCAGCTCGAAATGGAGTGGGAAGGAAGTAAAAACATAAACAAAAATGTAAACCAAACAAGTCAGAGAAACGATAAAAACTAAATTTGTCCTTGTCACGCTTGCTGTTAGCACAATCAAACACGGCACAATTGTATGGTACTGCTTCAAAGATCTTAAATGACGCTTGAAAGAATCTGATGTGACATCAGAGAGTGTGGCCATACAGCTACAGCAGCTACTATACCACCAGCATGGCCGACCTCCGGTAAGCCAAGCCTTTTTTCACAGGATGTGACGTCACGTGAAAGTCATCTATCGCCATGTTCCTAGCATAAGAGAACACGGTCACAAGTGAGCTATATTTTTCAAACGAAGCATGTCAATCTGCATTTACTTTGTGCAGGTCAAATACAGAAGAAAAAGTTGTTTGGGGACATTACTATTTCTATATATCCAGCACATTATATTTCAGTCAATTTAGCAACACCAAAATATCTGTATTTTTTTGCATCAAAACAGAGACATGTTTTCAATCAAATAGATGTTTACAGTACCACAAAACATATCATTTTGGTAATATGTATAATTAAAATGTATGAAAATAGTGAACATTGACAGATTTCTTACCTTGAAAGTGTGGCCGTAGCAGAGCTTTTAGAAAATGAATGCCGTGACGGGAAGTGAACAGCGTACTTTCCTCGCGAAAGGGAGCAAGTTTTTCCCGTGTTCATTTTTGGCCCTCCCTTTTTTGACAAAACCCTTTTGGGTGACTTTCAATAATCAGTCTAAATAGATAAATCTCTAACAGAGATAGCGTAACAGAGCTACATAAATTAATACTGTGTTTTTAAAGGCGCTATACACGTTTCTGCAATGTTTGAATGTTTAGAACTGCCCCCCAACTCGCTCAATGGCTTCTCATTTCCCCTACGCTCTCATCCCACGGAGCCCCCTAGTTTTATTTGCGATCTGATACGTATGCTAACATTAGCATTAGCGCAACTTCTTGTAAGCTGTACAACAATCACCAATGAAATGGTACAAAAGCAATGCACTGCTAACACAATATATAAGCAAAAGAATACCGCTAGTTTCGCGTCCGAATGTATTAATTTAAACATTAGAATATATTCTAATATTTAAATGTAACCAGGTGAAGAAATATTCCTTGTTGTAAAAGCTTGTGTTTTATTTTCTTTGTGGTTGTTCGTTATATTTGTTTTTTTTATCAAATGAGTTTGCCAGTGTTATGTTTCTTTTTTGTTGTTGTTGTATTTTATTTAAATAAAATTTAAATAAATAGTGACGCTAGCACACACTTGGTTTTTAACTGAAAGCTGATAGGGCAAATTTGCTGTCATGCGACATTTTTCTCAGATTTGTGAAAGGTAAGAAACAATCTGTATTGTTTTATTTAGTTTGGATAATTTTGTTTTTTACATTTTAATGTTTAAAATGTAATCCGTGGATTGTATTGTTTCTTGTTACAGAGGTGCCACTGCTGTTTTAATAATACTTTAACTGACACAAATTTTGGTGGCTTATTTCAAGAGAAATAAAGAACCCCTCTCTATTTTGAAGCATAGCGTTTCTTTTTACCCTGGCTTCAATTTTGGTACCAGGAGTGGGGTTTCTCATGTATTTTTATACCACCACGCAGTGTCAACGTCCTCAGTGACAGCATAACTATTTTGGACTTCCTCAAAGCTGCAGAAGCAGAAACTCAAAGCAGCGACGTCGAACCGCCACCAATTTGGACAAACAGAATCCAGTGACGATCGCGACGAGACGATGGAAATGAGTGTTCTTCAGAATGACTCGGACAGCGGTGGTTCCGCTTGAGGCCATGATCTTGGTGCTGATGGGTATCAGTCCGATTAGAGCCGGCAGCAGAGCTTCAGCCGAGCGGTCAAACCGAAGACCCAGGACTGAAGACAGGTGCCCCAGGGTGATGCAGGCCTTCCTCACCACCTGGGACTTGTCTCTCACACACAGTCTGAGGGACGGCTCCATGAGTCTGAGCTGAACCAGAAAACTATCCATCTTTGAGCCTCCAGCAACCAGCAGCACCCGGAGGAACTCCAGCGCCGCCACACGCTTCTCCCAGTCCCGTTTTTCGTCAGACAGAACGTCCCTCACTCTGGCCACGCCCTCCTCCACCTCCCTGTGAGAGAGGAGCTGGGTGGGGACCTCCTTAAACGCCTTCATGAAGTCCTCCTCATCCAAAGCTCCAGCTGTTTCTCGTCCTGATTCTGTGGAGTGTCTGAAGCTCAGACGCTTCTTCATAGATGCTCTGGAGGGGTCGTCGTCTTCAATCGTCTGATCGGACAGGGGAGACAGGACCATGTTTCCAGATCTCTGCACTTCATCGAACCGACTGAAGATCAGATTCAACCTGGACTGAGGAAGACCCTTTTTACCAAGGTCAATCCGCACTTTCTCTCCCACGTGACGATAGATCTCCACCAGAGAGTTCAGTGCCACGCCTCTCACCGCGCTACTCGGATCCTCCAACAAACTGCAGATGTGAGGCACGATTTTACTCAACGTCAAACTCTTTGACCCGAATACGTTCAGAGTGGACATCAAGCACAGACACAGTCCTTCTCTTGTTCTGCTGTTCTTGTGTTTGAAGCCTCCCATCATCCGCTCCCACACAAACTGGGGATTGGCTGCCTGGTCCATGATCTTTAGCAGCAGAGCCTGGGCCTGCTCTCGCACTCTCTCTGTGACGTCTCCCAAACGATCCATGACGCTCGGCAGAACTGTGGCCACCTGAGTCCTGAAAGCCTTCTGCAGAAGAGAGACCAGAGCCGAGAGGAGCTCTATCCCCACCAGGACCGCCTCACAGTCGTCGTGGTTCACAGTGTCCACTGCTCAATCCTGAACCAGAGCGGGACAGTCCTGAACTATCTGCAGGACATGTCCCTTAGTCCTGGTCTCTGTGTGAGAGAGGAGCTGGAGGAGAACCTCTGGGGAAACATCAGGAGGAACATCGGGACACAGCCCCTCCTCTGGATCCATCTCTCCTTCAGATTGGTGGGTCAGATTCATGTGAGGTCCTGAACCAGGTCTAAACTCCGGTGAATTTTTTTATTAAAATCACACTCTACGCTACGCTACGTTGCACGTGAGAAGACCGTTGCGGCTGTCCAGCGGAGATCAGCGGGTTGACCCGAGCATCAACCGCAGCGGCAGTGACACGAGCGCCTTTAGGACCAGGAGGACAAGGAGCGCACATAAGGAGCGTTTGTTCACTGATCCACTATCTGTTCATCTGGACTTTTTTCATTGACAGTTGGTGAGAAACGGAGCCAAACTCATTCAAAAAATGCATCAAGACGGTGAGAATTCTGGTCTGGGGGATCAGCCAATGAACAACAGTGGACACAATGAGTCAGGTCAGTACCATAACTGATGAATTTTTCAGAGAAAATTTGGGTGGAGATGAACACATGTTGACTACCTCGAGCTGGCTCAAATTAGCGGCTGCAAATGATCTTAGCATTCCATATCAGGGGTATGTGGAATTAAAAGTGGAAACAATGGGCTTGAAAAAACTCTGGTTTTTTGGTCTTAAAACCCTCAGCTGGTTCTGCTGTAACAGAACAGTGTATTATTGGCATGAATGTTATTTGCAGATGCAGGCAACTTGTAACAGCAGAGTTTACCAGCAAATGGGACGGGACCATATACTCTGGGTGGAGGACAGCTTTTCAGCAGATACGGGTTTGTAGCTTTGAAAGGCAGACAACAGCTCGGGTTGTGCAGGCAAAGAGAAAGTGCGTATCCCTGCTTCCTCCGTGTCCACCGTACTGGTAAACGGACACACCAAGTGCTCTAATCTCCCTATTCAGCTGCTTATTGAACCAGTCACTACACAGTTACCCCCGGGTCTAGCAGTTCTTCCAACACTGGTCAATGACACAAGTCCTATACTTCCTCTTCAGGTTGTAAATTTTTCCGCTGAGGATGTGTGGCTTTGTCCCCGAACCAGAGTTGGTCTCATGTCATATGTTGAGTGTGTTGAAAGTGAAGAGTCGTGTTCAGTTAAATTCCAGCGCATTTCTGCCGATGTTGAGGAGGTTTCAGTTGATCCAGCCTCTGAGCAGATTGATAATAAAGTGCAAGCGATCTTGGAAAAACTTGATATTGGTGGTGCAGCAGAAGAGAGAGTTGCTCTTAGTGCGCTGATAGCTCAGTACATTGATGTGTTCACAGATGATGACAAAAATCTTGGCCACACTGATAAAGTGAAGCATGAGATTAAGCTGACTGACGAGACACCTGTCACCCAGCCGTACCGACGTATACCACCCAATCAGTACCAGGAAGTCCAAGAACACATCTCTAAACTCTTGAAAAAAGACATAATTCAAGAAAGTGAGAGTGCATATGCCTCACCTGTAGTGATAGTTCGCAAGAGTGATGGCAGCATACGTTTATGCGTGGATTATCGAAAACTGAATCTTAAAACAAAAAGGGATGCCTTCCCACTACCCCGCATTGATGAGAGTTTTGACGCTTTAAAGGGTGCCAAGTACTTCTCCACGATAGATTTAGCGAGCGGGTATCACCAAGTCACAATGAACAAGAACGATAGGCACAAAATAGCGTTTACAACACCATTTGGGCTGTTTGAGTATGTGCGCATGCCCATGGGAGTTTGTAATGGCCCTGCGACATTTCAAAGATTGATGCAGGCAGCAATGAGCGACTTGATCTTTGACATTATGTTAGTCTATTTAGATGACATTCTAGTGTTTTCACCTACGTTTGACTCACACTTGGAAAGGCTTGACATTGTTTTTAAGCGACTGAAGCACACAGGATTAAAAGTTAAATTGGGAAAGTGTCACTTTTTACAGCAGGAAGTGAAATTTTTGGGGCACCAAATTTCCGCAGAGGGAATTGCTACTGACGCATCTAAAATCTCAGCAGTCAAAGAGTGGCCTGAGCCTACCACAATCAAAGAACTTCAATCATTGTTAGGGCTGTGTAGTTACTATAGGCGGTATGTTGAAGGTTTTTCTCAGATTGCAGCTCCCCTTCATGACCTCGTAAACCAGTGTCACAGCGCTGTTAATAAGGCCAAAGTTAAAACAAAACTCAGTGCATCATGGGACAGTACCTGTCAAAATGCGTTTGATTTGTTAAAAGAAAAACTTGTGACAGCACCAGTGTTAGGATATACTGATTTTAGTTGTCCTTTCATTTTAGAAACGGACGCAAGTGGCCAAGGGTTAGGCGCTATCCTGAGTCAGCAACAAGGTGATAGGAAGAGAGTCATTGCATATGCGAGTAGACGATTGAGGAATGCAGAGAGAAATGACAAAAACTACAGTAGTATGAAGCTGGAAATGCTGGCGCTTAAATGAGCAATTGTTGAGAAGTTCCGGGGTTATTTGCTAGGGTCCAAGTTTTCCGTTATTACTGATAATAACCCATTGTGCCATTTGAAAAGTGCTAAACTTGGGGCCATTGAGCAAAGATGGGTAGCTCAGTTAGCAGCATTTGATTTCCAGGTGCAGTACCGGCCAGGCCGCTGCAACACGGCTGCAGATGCATTGTCACGGCACCCATTAGCAGGGGAGCCAGAGCTTAATAGCGATGAGGAGTTTGATGATTGCATTGCAATTTGTAACTTGATCTGTAGAGGGACAGCTCTAGAGCCTGAGTTAGGTACGGAGGGAGTCAAATGTTCGCATCTTAAAGAAGCTATACCCGATTTTTTTTCTAAGTAGTTCATAAAAATGCTTTTTACTACATACAAGTTGTATCATAATACATCATTTTATTGAAAACTTGAGGTAATTGATTCAGCTATGTAAGAATTACAAGCAGTGAAAAGTGCTGAGTAGAGTCTGAGCGGGCCGCTCTTTCTCCTCCGCTCACAGAACGAGCAGCGAACAGCCTGCGTCCTCTAGCCCCTACAGCGCTGCTTAACACCAGCGCTTCGACTTCAAAATTCGAATATAATTCTCAAATAAAAAATGATGAACAAAATAATTGAATAAAAAAATTTGAACAAATATTAGACAACCCTTGTAATTCGAAATGTATTTAATGACTGCAAATAAAATAGTTAGCTCCTAAGCTAGCTAGTTGTTTCATGGTAACTTCCGGGTTTTTCGCAATCGCTTTTTGTCACCTTGAAACAGTATTTTTGTCATGAAAACAGTAACAGCAAATTCTGAAATCATCCGTGCATGTGTGTTAAGGATGTATATGTGTACTGTATTGTCCGATTGACGTTTAATGGTGTTGATTGATTGATATGTAGTTGTTTATTGAGCGTGGCTAGCTCCGCTAGCTCCGTTGGCTTCTCTACACAGACAAGTGTGTAGTGACAGGTGCTGATAGCTTGTTGTACTTGCAGAGTAATGGCAGTATTTTACACACGTGAATTACAAACAGAGATTGCATTGGGGCTTCGGTCATTATTAGTTTGAGAGTTCTGTTATCAAGAAAAAATGATCGGAAGAATTGCTGCTGCTGCTTTGAGGAGCTCTATAACAAATTATAATTAAATATTAGAATATATTCTAAGGTTTTAAATGAATACATTTGGATGCGAAACTAGCGGTATTCTTTTACTTATATATTGTGTTAGCAGTGCGTTGCTTTAGTACCATTTCATCAGTGATTGTTGCACAGCTTACAAGAAGTTGCGCTAATGCTAATGTTAGCATACGTATCAGATCGCAAATAAAACTAGGTGGCTCTGTGTTATGAGAGCGTAGGGGAAATGAGAAGCCATTGAGCGAGTTGGGGGGCGGTGCTAAACATTCAAACATTGCAGAAACGGGTATAGCGCCTTTAACCAAATTAGGGCTGTGGAGACAGACCAGTGGCTACCACAAGAGACAACACCAACTCTCCCAGGCTATTCCAAGGAGGAGTTGCAGAAATTCCAGAGTCAAGATCATATCATAGGTAAATTCAAACGGTATTGGAATCAAAATGTCCAACCAAATTCACAGGAAAGGAAAAGTCTGCCTACCGCTCTAAAATCACTCCTAAAGCAGTGGAAACGAATTAGGATGCGGGATGGGTTATTATATAGAGTTGTAACTGATGCTACGTTTGGAGAATGTTTTCAGTTACTGGTCCCTAGCTGCTTGCATCAGTATGTGATGCAAAGTGTCCATGATACGATGGGACATCAAGGAATTGAGAGAACATCCCAGTTGTTGCGACAAAGGGCATTTTGGGTGGGTATGTACAGGGACATAGAAGGTTGGGTAAAAAACTGCCAGCGCTGTATTCTTACCAAAATGCCAAAACCGAAAATACACCCTCCAATGAAATCATTTTTGGCAACAAGACCATTAGAAGTAGTGGCTGTAGACTTCACCATTCTTGAACCTGCCTCTGATGGCCGTGAAAATGTTTTAGTTGTCACAGATGTGTTCACAAAATTTACTCAAGCCTTCCCCACACGAGACCAGAAGGCGGACACAACGGCCAAAATCCTCCTAAAGGAGTGGTTCATGAAGTACGGTGTACCTGAACGTTTACATTCAGATCAGGGCCGAAACTTTGAATCTGAAGTTGTTGCTGAGCTATGTACATAAGCTGTATGGTGTCAAAAAGACTCGTACAACTCCACACCATCCAACAGGGAACGCACAGTGTGAACGGTTTAATCGCACGCTTCACAAACTGTTGCGCACATTACCACCTGATAGAAACAAACGTTGGCCTGAGCATTTACCAGAACTTGTATATGCATACAACGTCACACCCCA